AACTGGTCAGGGAGAATCAATTCTGTAAACACCTGCTTACATACATTCAGATAAAGAAACAGAAAAGTTCCTGTCTTTAAAGGATGTTTATGACAAAATTATAACGATATGTTTTTAGTTAATACATCATACTGAGATCACACTTATTTATTTATTTTTATCCGCATGATACAGATCGACATCTTTTATCTTGATTTTCATCCAATTCATGCCTCAAGAGTAACTCATGATAGAGCTTTACTGAATGAGGTATGCAATAATAACATAGAAGAGGTAAAAGTAAGAGAAACTTATTGTTGCTTTCTGTGTCGTCTCTGGATCCCCACGTGAATATATAAAACGATATCAACGAAAATGACTATTTCTTTTTGTTATTCGTTTTATTATGAGAGAAGGTTGACAGCTTGGATTCTAAGAGGCAGAAACTCATGTTGCGCGCTGACTCAGCAACCCTCCGCGGTTAGTCTTAGCCGATTGCTAACCTGGGTATGAGAGGAATATCGACGCTTCAGGATTCTGGCGGTCGGCTCTTGAATTCACTCCGTTTTGGCCTTATATTCAAAACCTAGACAAAGGCAATCCATCACTTTTAGAATGCCCCACCCACGAGGCACTCCAGACAATCGCTGATCATTCTGGCACTGGCTTTCGCTTTCTGTAACATTATAAGGATAAGGACGATAAGATAGCGAATGATCATTGACTGTAGTGTTCAAGAAAACATCCAGGTGGGAGATTGTCACAAAGAAGCAGTCCTCTGGAAAAGAAAAAAAATGTGTCTGGGCATATCTTACTTTTTCTAAAAGGAATACGGAAGAAATGGATGCGATCTGACTGCATGGCTTGTTTTGTTTTAAAGGTCTGAATTAATGCAATCATTTAATATTTATTGGAATTTTATTTTGGACAAACTGATGTTTAATTTATCTAAAAACAAAGTTTAATTTGACGAAAGTAATGTTTAATTCGTTGAAAATGAAGTTTAGTTTGATAAAATTGAAGTGATATTCGAAAATGAAGTTTAATTTGTTGAAAAAGAAGTTTAATTATTTACATTATTCAGACTATTGTCCTCATCTTTGTCGCTATATTTATTACAACGTTTCGGCCGTTGTACACTCCGGCCTTCTTCAGGTAGTTGGAATGTCGAACTGAACCCTTTATTTCGCTCACTGGGGTAGACTGTTCTAGTTCCACGTGCCATGTTTTAATGGATGTCAGTTATCAGTTATCTCCTGTTAATTTTCCCTCTGAAAGTTCTCCACTGCCTTAACTCAAGGACACATGGCACAGTGGATAAAGGCGTTGGTTAGATCCAATTACCTGACCGAAAGAGTGTGAGTTCAATACCCAGTTAAGGTTGTGGAGAACTTTCAGAAGGAAAATCAACAGGAGATAACTGATAACTGACAACCATTAAAACATGGCACTTGGAACTAGAACAGTCTACTCCAGTGAGCGAAATAAAGGGTTCAGTTCGACATTCCAACCACCTGAAGAAGGCCGGAGCGTACAACGGCTGAAACATTGTAATAAATATGGCGACAAAGATGAGGACAATAGTCTGAATAATGTAAATAATGTACATAATACCTCATCTCATAAATATAGACAGATAATGAAGTTTAATATAGTGAAAGTGAATTTTAGTTTGACAAATGTGACATTTAATTTAGCGAAAATTAAATTTAATTAGGCGAAAGTGAGGTTTAGTTTATCAAACGTGAAGTTTCGTTTGGCAAAAGTGAAGTTTAATTTATAGAGAATGAATTTTAATTTGACGAAAGTGAATTTCTTTTTATCGAAAAGTTTAATTTGATAAAAGTGAAGTTTAATTTTTCGAAAATGAAGTTAAGTTTGTATAAAATTACGCTTTAGTCTGACAAACATAAAGTGTATTTTAATTTGGCGGAAGTGAAGTTTCATTCGGTAAAAGTGGGGTTTCGGTGCGAGAAATTTAATTTTACTTTAGGGTTCACTTTGGGGGTGAAATTGACGCTTAATCTTGTGAGATTTTGTTTTATCATCATTATTTGCATCTTACCTATAAGTTTTCTTTTAATCTTTTTCTCTTACCTATATTATTAAATCAAATATCTTTACTTTTGTTTATTTTATATAATCTAATTGTTATATACAGAGCGGCAATAAAGTCACTATACAGTCCAGAAATTTATTATTAAAATGGTTCTATTTAATTCTGGTTAATAACTATAAAATGCTTTGCTAAGCAGTAATAATTTAATTACCGATACTATTTGAACTACAAGCCATTTTCATCGATGCTTTACCTTTTATTATAAGTAACTGTATACTGATTTTATTCCCACTTTGTATATATATTGGCATGAAACTGCATTTAGATCTCATCATTTCAGTGCTGAAATTGTTAAGTGAAACCATAAGTTCTATTCTAATGGATTCTTCTCGCGCACTTCTTACCTGTGGAACTCTCTTCCAGTTTATTGTTTTCCTGTAAATTACTGTTATAGACAAGCGTATGGTTGCAAGAAAGAAATACGACAACAGCAGAAATAGATTTACGTGGTTTATTTCAACAGGAACGTGTGGGTTTGGGACAGCTACCTTGTGATAAAGTTCATAAGCCGGCTTCGGATCTAGGTCGATCTCTCATAGTAGTTCACACATATTGACGGTGGTTGGTGCTCTCCTGCTGACAGCTGCTGAACGCTCGGCCTGACCGTGACAGGTCTCCTTTGTGGCCACCTGTTGACTGCCTGGTGAACATCCGTGTGACCCGTTTTATAGCGTTTTTTTATGGCTTAACAGGCTCGAGAAACGAAGCGAGTATAATTAAGAGGGAAGCATTTTTATTGGACGAAAAATAGAGCACTTTAAATATTATTTTATTTTTCGACCGGAACTCGTGTGTCGGGAAAATTTGTAAACGAAGATAATGGTCATTTTGTCACGGGGCTTTGTCCCGTTCACATCCGGCTCTCGCTCTTGAGTATTTGCCTGTAAATCAGCCGAGATATGTCTTATTTTATTTTATAACATTATGATCTTCAAAAAGTTAAATGCGATGTCAATTGTCATCTTCTGTCGCCTTGAATCCGGTTCTATATATTGTGCTTTCTCCTCAGCAACATCTTCTTAGTTTCCTTCACTCGTAGTATCCCCCCCATTTTTGCGTCTTAGTGGACTTATCACCTTGCTTGAGGTAAAAACAATTTTTAATGTGAAAAGCAGTCCCTATTATAGACATCAAACCGTTTCAAAGCCTGTAACCGAGTGTATAAGTTTGTTCGAGTTTAATGCCCTGGAAATATACTTTGGAGATTGCAAAATCAAAGATGTTCAACAGTTTAAATATCTGTGAAGTGTTTAAACAGATGACGGAAAGTGCGACATGGAAATCCGAAGGCGCATTGGAATAGCCAAAGGTACCTTCCAAAAGCTAAGCAAAGTATGAAGAAACAATTGTTAAAAACAAAGAAATGAGTACTGAATTTCTATGCAATATCAGTTCTCCTATATGGCAATAAATGCTGGACAATCTTCACCGATAAAGAAGTGATTTGGAGCAACAGAAATGTAGTTCTACAGAAGGATACTGAGAATGTCACGGACCGAACATGTGTACAACGACGAAGTTTTAGAGAAAATGGAAACGAAAAGGACACTTGTACTTAACACCAGGAAGAGACAGTTGAAATTTCTAGGGCGCATAATGAGAAAATAATGCTTAGAAAATTCGATACTCACAAGACATTGAAGGCAAGAGGAACACAGGGAAACACTGCATAATAAGCTTGAGTAAATGGATGGCGGAGCAAGGTTTAGGAATTTTAGCAAATAGACAAAATTTATTAAGCGCTACAAAGGACAGGAAATTATGGAAAGCAGTCACGCAATCTCTATTGTATACAGTCAAAATTGTTAAGCTTGTAACAGACAAACTGTGGAATCACAAATTCGTTTCCAGGTTTAAGACACACTGTTCTATAAAACTAAACTTGTAATCGAAAAAAAATGCCAATGTAAATATCTACACACTTTTTGAATGCACTCTCTAATTCCTACTGCTAAGGATTGTTAAGAACATGGTAATCTTTCATTTAAGCGGCGTCAATTAAACTGCTATTCCCTGAACGGTCAAAAATCAAGAAGACCAAGGTTTATTACAATTAAGCATTATTAAAACGGCTAACGGTGGACTACGCAGCAAATAACTGCTGGAAATAAGAGCTGTTCTTGTGCCGCTGTTGCCATGCAAATTCTCGAAGATGCACCATGGGAAAGGCCTCAGAAGTTCCAAAATGTCGACGCAAGTTACGCTTTACGCGCATCCAAAGGTTTTCCACGTTTCGAGTATGGATGGAGTCATCATCTGGATCAACAAAATGCTGACGATGAATAAACGACGTCGCTAGAGTATATCCCGTGTTTGATTTCCTCGATTCCAGCATGAGCAGCCCAACCATCTGAAACAATATGGCTTCCAGGCCTGAATATAAGGCATAATCACCTGTTTCGGAATCCCTGCTCGTCGGTCTGACACATTCACTAAGAAACATTTTCTCGAACCCTGCTCGATACCACCGAATGGTCACGATGATATTTATGATGAAAATACACTTAAAGATATAAAATGGCAGATTATTTTACACCTTTTAAGCGAAACAGAACTTTGAAAGATTATTTTACGATGCTTATGAGAATTATATGAGCGTAATACACACATTAGTGTGTATTACGTCTATTTTCATCTAGACGTGTATTACGACTGTTTTTAATATTATTTTAGACTCTGTATATTACGTCTATCGGCCTGTTCACTCAAGAAAACTTAATGAAAAAAATGTTCTCTGTCAGTGAGTTTTCTCATCTATTTCAAACATTTCCAGTGAAAATAACATAATAAAAATATCTTATTGTTGGGGCGCACCCACCTTCTCATCAGAATGGACTGATCTCTCTACTACTAATAGGACAGTTCTATAGAGTTCTGGGAAGATCAGGTGACCATCACACTTCCGTCTCTCTACCGGAAGATACAGTTGGACTTTATACTCTTTCTGATTGTTACTGACTAACCTGCGTTCGTTTGACAACTAATCTCTCTGTTGTAAATATCTCTTCGGATATACCAGTATTTTTCCCTACGTATGTGTTTGTCCGTATTTCAATACACGCACGCGGAAACAATCAACATCTCAACACTTGTTAAAATAAAACCAATAATTCTTTAAAAATTGATTTCCAAATTTATAAACGATAACAATGTATTCTTCATTTTCCTCCATTCATTGCAATACTCACTTTGTTATCGATAGCTAACTGTTGGGGCGCACCCACCTTCTGACTGATAATGGACTGATCCCTCTACGATATAAGTCAGTGCTAGAGAGAGTAGTTGTGTTGTGTGAAGGATCAGGTTCAGCGACAGCAGTCGATATCAGGTTACCATTACATACCGTTGGACTGTAGACTTTTGCTATTGTTACTTACTAACCGGCGTTCCTTATTACTAATCACTCTGTTGTTAATTACCTCTTACAAATATACCAGTATTTACCCCTACAACTGTGTTTGTCTTTATTCGAATACATACACGCGGGAACACTCCCAACAACTCAACACTAACCAATTGCATACGAATACAAAGTAAGTGTATTAAGTACGTAAAAATAGAAAGAGACGTAAGACAAGGGCGTGACATCTCACCAGACTTCAATTTTTCAGTGAAGCAAACCTGAGAGTACTAGAAGTTTTACCGTGATTTATTCCTAGCTAGCACAGTCTTGACAATACGCGGATAACATAGTATCAGCATCTAGCCACCCCCCAACGAGGGTTGCATGTGTCACAAGGCCGAATTTATCGTGGGTTTCCCGAGCCCGTAGGCTCGGCCAAAAAATGCTCGTATAACCCGTATAAACGAGATCGGGTTGGTCATTTCTCCCCGAACGAGATTCTGCCCTTCGGCGGAACCTCGTCCCGGTTCCTTTCTGCTCATAGGCAGAAAGTTCGACTGTCAAGTCGAGAAGCTCGGCTCGGATAACATTGTATCGATAGCAGATACAGAAAGAAAACTGCAGGAACTACTTAACGATGTAGTTAAAGAAAGAAAGATGAAAGGACTAATCATTAGTCTTAAGAAGAAAATATATGGCTGTCAACAAGAAGAACAGTCCGAGATGCGAGCTACGAAATGAATATGTCAAAACTAAGCCTGTACAGAAGTATAAATATTTTACAAGTTAAAAGAACAGACGATGGAAAATGTGACACCGAAATCCGAAGAGTCATTTGAATGGCGAAAGATGCCTTCAAATGCTAAAATATGTCTTACGAAACAAGAAAATTTCGTTAGAAACAAAGAAAGAAGTGAAGAACTGGTATATGATATCAATCTTCTGATATGGCAAGGAATGATGAATAATTTCATCACAGAAAAAGAGGAGACTTGTATCAGCAGATATATAGTTCTACAGAAGGATGCTGAGAATACGGTGGACGGAGTATGTGAACAATGAGGGGGCTTTAAGGAAAATACAAAAAAAGGATACATAGAATCAGAAAGGGACTTTTGAAATTCCTAGATATAACGAAGGGTTAGAAAATTTGACACTGTTATATACCGTACCTATGAACACTAACGGACATGTCCCATTCCTGATAAATACGTTGGACACTATTTTAAGTGGAGAGTAATATGCTGCCTAAGCTGGCAGCGTGAGCTGTCAGTGTGGGGAGCTCTTTCCGTGTCGAGCTCTCTGCCTTTGCGCAGTGTAACCCGGACGGGGCAAAGAGCAGAGTCTCGTCAGGGGAGGTAGACAGATACCCGATCCCGCGTATGCGGGTTCTACGGAAAATGTTTGCCCTAACCCACGGGTTCTAATTTCCCACGTTAAATTTGGCCTTGTGCCACATCCTACCTCATGGGGACGCAGGTAAATATCGTAATATGCTGTCTAAGTAGTTCACCACTAGCAGTGGTTTACCTAATTCACGCCGCTGGCGAGTATTGTATTTTGTTACCATTTCATTTTCCAACCCCCGTTTTGTTATTCCTCATTCAGTAACTTTTTCTAGGTTACGACACTATGAACCCATTTTCATTATCTATCTATCTATCTATCAAGAAATGGACAAAGTCCGACAATTTATTTATTAAAGACATTTTTATGTTTAACGTTCTTTTTATAGATACAAGTATTTAAGTAAATCGTCTGTTTATAATAAACAGTATTAAATAACATTTACCGGCCTGAATGTCCGAGAAATTTTCATAGAAAATATTCGTTCTTTGACAGGATTCGAACCTGCATCCTATACGGAACCGTCATATACGCTGACGTGCCTTAACCGTCTCGGCCACAAAAAAGAACCTTACGGTAGACAAGGTCGAATTTACTGCTTATAACGGTATATGACGGTTCCGTATATGATGCAGGTTCGAATCTGTCAAAGAACGAATATTTCTATGAAAATTTCCGACATTCAGGCCGGTAAATGTTATTTAATACTGTT